TAAAGCGTCTGTCTTACGCTTGGGTCATGATCTCAGGGTCCTGGGATCGAGCTCCGTGTCGGGCTCCCTGCTCTGTGCGGAGTCTGCTTCTCCCTCTGCCACTCCCCCATCTCATGCTCTCTCTCTCTCTGTCTCTCAAATAAATAAATAAAATCTTAAAAAAAAAAAAAAAAAGAAGGGTACAGGGGCGTCTGGGTGGCTCAGTCTATTAAGATTCTGTCTGCCTTCGGCTCAGGTCATGATCCCAGGGTTCTGGGATTGAGTCCCACGTCGGCTCCCTGCTCAGCAGGGAGCCTGCTTCTCCCTCTCCTCCTTGCTCATGCTATCTCTCTCTCAAATAAATAAAATCTTTTTTTTTTTAACTAATTTTTTTTTTTAAAGATTTTATTCATTTATTTGAGACAGAGAGAATGAGATACAGAGAGCATGAGAGGGAGGAGGGTCAGAGGGAGAAGCAGACTCCCCGCCGAGCAGGGAGCCCGATGCGGGACTCGATCCCGGGACTCCAGGATCATGACCCGAGCCGAAGGCAGCCGCTTAACCAACTGAGCCACCCAGGCGCCCCTAAATAAAATCTTTAAAAAAAAAAAGTGCAAGGGGCACATGGTTAGCTGAGTCGGTGGAGTGTGCAACTCTTGATCTTGGGGTCGTGAGTTCGAGCCCCTCATGGGGTGTAGAGATTACTTAAAACTTAAAAAAGGGTGCATATTATTATATCACAGCCTTGTTTAATATTTTGATAACCACATTACTTCTGTAATACAACTTATGGATTCCTAAATATGTCCACACAGTGCAAAACTGTACAGCTTACAGGAAAAATGGGGTTAGGAGCATAACACTCACTTTGCCAATGATACATTTTTATTAAAAAGGACAGGAATGTAATCAAAATGGTAGGAGTTTTTATACCTGTTGGGTGGTTAAGAAATACATAAATATTGCAATAAATATGGCACTTTATCTGGAAAGAGACCTGAAGTTTGCACGTCGAATTGGGTGTCAGGGAGATGGCAGCTTGTGATTCACTGGGAAGTGGCAGGAAGGTAATCTGCTGGGAAGTTGTAGCAGCAAATGTGGGTGGGTGTGGCTTATAACACACCGGGGAAGCTGGGGGGCCAGCGGATGTTTGAGGGGTGCATGTGGATGTATGTATTCCTGCATGCCGTGGCTCAGTCCAGCTGGGTATAGTTTACCTAGTGTTTCTCGTGGACAAAGTTGCACGTGAATAAATGCAAACTTCACATTATGCCCAAATTGTTCCCTAATATATCGGCTATGTCGGAACATCTTCATATTTTCCCAAACAACTGTTATAACAGAACTGACCGTCCTTCAGTATGATCTGCCTGACAGACTCCTACTCATTCTTATGGCCTCAGGCTCTTAACCTCTTCTGTAGGACTTTATGTTAAATTCCTATCTGAGATAAAATCGAGAGCTCCTTCACTTCTGTCCTCGTGGCCCGGTTACATGTATCTGTGTCTGTGCATGTGTCTCCGTGAACATGCAGGTCACAGTGCATGACAGATTACATGCTCGGCTTCCTCTTCTCTGTGAGCACCTTCAGGAGCCCCTCTTATTCATCTTGGCATTCCCATTGTAGCACAGACAGTATCTGCTACGGAGATTGCTCAGTAAATACCTAGAATGGACATGATAGGAAAAAAACAAAACAGTAACCTCAGCTGTAGACTGAAAACATGCTAAAACTATTGATGTTGATGAAAAATTGGTTTAAGAGAATTTTTGGGCTAGAAAGACCCAGAAGAGGTACGTAATCTCAACCTTTCATCTTATTGGTAAGGAAAAGTGATTAAATCTCTTACTTAACATCCCATAGCCAGAATCAGATGATCATTTGGAATTAGTTGGAAAAAATATTGGCTTCAGATGTAATAAATTTTCTAGAAGATTATTAACTAATTCTGGAAATGTTGTAAAAACAATGAACAAATCTAGAGGTGCCAGGGTGGCTCAGTTGGTTAAGTGTCTGTCTGCCTTCAGCTCAGGTCATGATCCCACGGTTCTGGGATGGAGCCCTGAGTCAGGCTCCCTGCCCAATGAGGAGTCTGCTTCTCCCTCTCTCTCTGCCCCTCCCCTGCTTGTGCTCGTACGTTCTCTCTCTCAAATAAATAAAATCTTTTAAAAAAACAAAGAGGGGAGCCTGGGTGGCTCAGTCGTTAAGCGTCTGTCTTCGGCTCAGGTCATGATCCCAGGGCCCTGGGATCGAGCCCCGCATCGAGCTCTCTGCTCAGCAGGAAGCCTGCTTCTTCTCCCTCTCCCACTCCCCCTGCTTGTGTTGCCTCTCTCGCTGTCTCTCTCTCTCTCAAATAAATAAACAAAATCTTTAAAACAAAACAAATCTACTTGGCAAAGTACTTTACAACTCGCTTCGTCTGGTCCTATGAACTGGGTATAGCTAGTTACAGGAGAAAGCAAATAATTGGTTAAAAATCCTTAATTTTTGCAATATGGAAGCAGGATAAGATTCTGAGCGTCCTGTCTGCTTGACCATTTTTTGCCATCTGGTGCTGAGAACAAGGGTCTTATTTCAAAGCCTTTTTCTGCAGTGCACTCTTAGACATCGCTGGGGGAGCACAAAGTGATTCAGACCTTCTGCCAGGGAACTTGGTACTGTTGCCTAAAAATTGCGGAACTGACCCTTTGACATACCAGTGTCACTCTGGGAATCTCTCTTACGAGGACACCCACGTGTGTACAAAGGGGCCCGGGTACAAGTTTTTCACTGCAGGACTGCTTTGTAATAGCAAAAGTTCGGAAACCATCCAGGTCTCCAGCAAAAAAGAACTGGGGGAGTCGTGATGGTATGTCTACACGATGGAATATTACAGAGCCATTAACCAGAATAAGGAAGATCTTGGATGTGGAAATACTTCTGGGATGTATTATTAAGTGAATAGAAGCGAGATACTGAAAGGTTTCTGTGGTATTCTTCACATGTACAAAAGGGGATGGGAGTAAGAACATGTTATCTTTATTTTCTGTCAGTGTAGTAACCATTTAAAAAGAGCCCCAGTAATTTAAAAAAAGAGAAAAAAGGAAAGAAAGAGTAAAACACTGCACAGCTGACCACGTCACCTTCCCCCACAGCAGGCTTCCTACTTCCTTGAGGGGTGGGAATGGGGAGAGATTCAGCTGGAATCTGAATTTGGACTTTTGACAAGTACATGGGACAGGACATCCTCATTGCTTTTTTGAGACTGTTGGTGTTGTCTGCCAGGGTTCTTAACTTTTTTTTATCGCAGGCTGATAAACCCTATAGATCCCTTTTAGAGTAATATTTGTTTGTTTTGATATGTATTCTTTTTTTAATTAAGTTAGTTAACATATAATGTAGTGTTGGTTTCAGGACTAGAATTTAGTGATTCATCACTTACATATATCATCCAGTGCTCATCCCAGCAAGTGCCCTCCTTAATGCCCATCACCCATTTAGCCCATCCCCCCACTCTCCTCCCCTCCAGCAACCGTCAGTTCTCTATAGTTAAGAGTCTCTTATGGTTTGTCTCCCTCTCTGTTTTTATCTTATTTTAATTTTCCTCCCCTTACCCTATGTTCATCTGTTTTGTTTCTTAAATTCCACATACGAGTGAAACCGTATGGTATTTGTCTTTCTCTGACTTAGTTCGCTTAGCATAATACACTCTAGTTCCATCTATATTGTTGCAGATGGCAAGATTTCATTCTTTTTGATGGCTGAGTAATATTCCATTGTACATATATACACCACATCTTCTTTATCTGTTCATCAGTCAATGGACATTTGGGTTCTTTCCATAATTTGGCTATTGTGGATAGTGCTGCTATAAACATGGGTTGCATGAACCCTTTCGAATCAGCATTTTTGTATCCTTTGGATAAATACCTACTAATGAAATTGCTGGGTTGTAGGGTAGCTCTATTTTTCACTTTTTGAGGAATCTCCATACTGTTTTCCAGAGCAGCTACACCAGTTTGCATTCCCACCAACAGTGCAAAAGGCCCCGCTTTCTTCACATCCTCACCAACACCTGTTGTTTCCTGACTTGTTAATTTTAGCCATTCTGACAGGGGTGAGGTGCTATCTCATCATGGTTTTGATTTGTATTTCCCTGATAATGAGTGATGCTGAGCATTTTTCCATGTGTTTGTTAGCCATTTGTATGTCTTCTTTGGAGAAATGTGTGTTTATGTGTCCTGCCCATTTCTTAACTGGATTATTTATTTTGGGGATGTTGATTTTGTTGAGTTCTTTATAGATTCTGGATACTAGCCCTTTATCCACTAGGTAATTTGCAAATATCTTCTCCCATTAGAATAATGTTTCTAAATGAATAAAATAAAATACATCGGGTTATAAAATACATAGGAAGGCTGTTTGAGCAGAGAGGAAGCAGCATGAGTGAAAGCCCAGAGAATAACCCTAGCCTAGCTCAAATGCAGGCCCCACAGGGAAAGAGGAAGAGGCTGAGGAGGTGGGTTTACCCTGCAAGCTGAAGTTCACCACCTGCGTCTACCCATGTCTTTCCAGGTATCATTCTCCTCTTTCCTTTTTTTTTTCTTCTTCTTTTTAAAAAATATCTCCTGAAACAACTAACAATGCTAATCAGCCCTTAGTAGGGACTTTATTAACAGTGACACAGTTGTTCATTCCTATTGATGACCACTGTCTTCATTAAGGGTTCACGACATAGTCCATATTAAGGCTGACAAAGAGCCAGTTATATTTGGGCATTAGCTGATTGCCGTAGTTGAAGAGATGACATACGTGGTAAAGCAAACAGAGCCTTCTTACTAGGCAGTTAGACCCAAAAGGGCCCCACACACGAATAGGAAATCAGTACCTCTTTGCTGGATGGATGGTAGTTGTATGAAATTACTTCTTTGTATTTCATTAATTCCTTAAGTTTTAAAGGCATTTCTGCTATATTTGTGTATTGTCTTAAGTATTGTCCAGTTTTTCTCTCCTGGGTACTAATTTTGAAGTTGTTTTGTAGAACTTAGAAGTCTCAGAAGAGTCAGCTCAGAAAACTGCCTTTCTTAGTAACTGAAGAAAACAAAAGTCAGCTTCACTGTTCATTGTGGTCATAGGTAAGTCACCTTTGTGTGTATCTCCCCTTCTATCTCCCTTGATATTTAATAAGTAACTTGGGAACATTGATAATGTAGAGTCAAGGCCATGCATTTGTTTGACCTGTAATCCTTTCTCTTATTTGACCTATTTATACATACCTTCTAAATTTAATCAGTAAAATGTCAATTATTTGAGAAATGCAGATCAAAAAGTTCTTGATCTCAGTGCCTAGAATTTTAAACACAAGGAAGTAAATACAGATAGCTTGCTTTTTTGTGTTTGTTTAATATTTTATTTATTTATTTGACAGAGAGAGAGAGCATGTTGGAGAGATCACAAGCATGGGGAGCAGCAGAGGGAGAGGGAGAAACAGGCTTCCCACCAAGCAGGGAGCCTAATGTGGGGCTTGATTCCAGGACCCTGAGATCATGACCTGAGCCGAAGGCAGACACTTAACTGACTGAGCCACCCAGGCGCCCCTACAGACAGCTTTCAAAATCAGAATCTAAATTAACATTTCAGGGGCGCCTGGGTGGCTCAGTTGGTTAAGCGTTGACTCTTGATTTCGGCTCAGGTCATGATCTCAGGGTTGTGAGATCGAGCCCTAGGTCGGGCACTGCGCTGGGCATGGAGCCTAATTAGGATTCTCTCTCCCCCTCTCCCTGCCCCTCCCTCCCACCTCTGTCTCTCTTAAAATTAACACTTCAGCATTTCATTTGGCTGGAAAGAAGTCTTTTCATGGGGTTTTAAGTTTTATAAAAAGGCTCATTGACTGGGGCACCTGGCTGGCTCAGTCCATGGAGCATGTGACTCTTGGTCTCAGGGTTGTGAGTTCAAGCTTCACGTTGGGTGTAAGCATTACTTAACTATAAAATCTTTAAAAAAAAAAAAAAAAAAAGGTTCATTGATGTAGTAAGTACTTTCTTGATTTTTGTTTCCTTCTATCAAACCTGCATTTCAAATGCAAAGTTTCTTCAGAATCCAGTTTGGTAAGTTAAAAAGTATAATCATTTCAGATGCTTTCACTGTAAGCAGAGAGCATCTCAAGAACACTGTGAAAGCAGTAAGTGTAGGTAGCCCTCTTCCTCTCTCCTGTTCTTTCTCTCTCTTTGCTGAGAAGTTTTCATATTTATGGTATTTTGCATGACCTTATGTAGATAAAAATCAGGATGTATAGTTAATTTTTTAGAGGCTGGGAACTTAAAGAGCACACCACCCAATGCTCTCTTTGCCTTGGTTTTATTAATTCTGTGTTTCCTTCCTGCAGAAGCTGATTTCTCATCTTTGGAAGGCAGGAGGCAGACATCAATACCTAATACTTAACCTTGAAAACAAAAAGGGGATTGTAATCCTTTGTAAGCAACATTTAATACCAAAGGGAAGCAGAAACTGAAAGTTAATTTTTCAACGTCTATATTTTGTTTGTTTTCAAGCTGACCATTTTCATGTTGGAGAAATTTTTTTTTAATGTGTAAGAAATTAGACCTTACTGTGTATTATCTGTATACAAACTCGGAATTATGCTCAGAGAGAAAAGGACTTCTCTATAAAGATGCAGACTACAGTTAAATACTAGAGAAGCTCTTTAAAAGTGTGGACATCCAATAGAGAATCCCTGCATGTAAAATGCTGTTTTTAACTATCTGATTGTTTAAAAACCTGTGCATACATTTAAATTATAACCAACAGCTTCTCAAGAGTCAGCTGCAGATATATGAGAAGTAGTAGTCTCTTCTTTGTGGCTTTAGCCCTGAACTTTGCTGTGTAAAATAGACATAAAATGATATGATACAAAATATTTTTAACCGGAAAGTATCTCCTCAGTTAACTGACAATTGAGGTCCTTCTGTCCCAAAGCTGAACAGAGCCCCATCTCATCTGGGTCTGTAGTAAGTCCCATCTACTTACACAAACAAAAGCTTGCTGGAAGATCAAGTTTTATATGCATTTTTTTTATCATTAAAAACCAGAACACTTCCCTTTTAACTTGTAATTTAATTTTTTAAAGAATATACTATGTGCATTTCTGTCCCTTCTAAGAGAATTGATCAGCTTCATTCAATAAAAAATATTTTTAATAATAAAGAAAAAAATAATTTTCTTGGGTTTCTTTTTATTGTACAGGAGCAAAATAAGGAAGGTTAGTCCCTTGAAACCGAACCTGGCAAGTTAATTTCCTCGGGAATGGGAATGTATTTTTTTTAAGCATTGCAGATATCAAGGTTCTGTTGTGCTGTATAAATACCCCTTTGTTGAAAGGTTTCAGTGCTACTTCAGAGATGATTTTCCTGAGAGTGGAGGAGCCACCCCATTTAGCCTTTTTAATTAGGGTGCTGAAAAGAGAAATTGGGTGAGGTTTGGCTGTGTTCCTTATAAATGCTTGCTTTCTCCCTCAGGCACGGCTGGTTTGTGTAGAGGAAGTCTGAGAAAGGTACAGTTGATTCTGAGCTGTTGGAGACCTAAAATGTCCCTGGAGAGGCTCATTTCCAGTCTGAGAAACAAAATACGAAAATTTCTCCTCTTTATGCTAGGTTCGTGGCTACATGTCAGCTTGCCCAGTGAAAAGAGAAGGAGAACATTGATGAGATGCTAAGAAGTAGGAAAATTTCAGGGAACTAAAGAATGAAAAAAGTCAAAAATTATTTTGTGGCTAAATGTATTTGAGCTCATAGGATTACCGTATCTACAGTACCCATCTTACCCCACCACGTTATTGTGAATTATAGCACATATAACTAAAAAGTGGGGAATCTTAATATTATTACCAACTTATGCATCTCAGCCTAAGTTATTTAAATACGTGAGCAGTTTCTGTTATGGAGAGTCAGCCCTCGGTCTGTTTGAAAGAGTTGCGAGATAAAACTGAACATTTATATTTTGTCATCGGCATTCTTCCATCTTGAGAGGAATAGTACTGTAATTCGCCTGCCAGAAATTATCTCAGCCATCAGAAGAGACTAGTGTAATTTTAGAATTTGTGGACAGATCTTCTTTTTTTTTTTTTTTAAAGATTTTATTTATTCATTTGAGACACAGAGATAGAGAGAGAGAGCATGAGCAGGGAGAGAGGCAGAGGGAGAGGGAGAAGCAGGCTCCCCGCTGAGCAGGGAGCCCAATGCGGGGGCTCGATCCCAGGACGCTGGAATCATGACCTGAGCTGAAGGCAGACGCTTAACCATCTGAGCCACCCAGTCTCCCCCTGTGGACAGATCTTCTAAAGTGAAATAGAAATACCCCCAAAGGAAGAAATTCTGAATCAAGATAATACGTAAACACTAACAACAGTTTTACCTAAAAAGTTATAGTAGAAAAGCGTGGTATTGAGAGGCTCAGTGGGGTGAGGTTGGTTTAGACGAAGAAACCAGACACATTAATCAGGACCACAATAGACAAGGTAGGTTAAAAACCAGAGTGGTGTTATATGCAAACAATCATGGAACACTACATCAAAAAAAATAAATAAATAAAAATAAATGAATAAATAGGGAAACAACAACAACAACAAAAAACCCAGAGTGGTCTTTGAGAGGAGTTTATCAAATGAGGAGGACACATTAATCAGTCCTATAATAAAGGATGATTTCTGGGTTCTCAGCCAAATGCACACTTAGGACATCTAACAAAAAAAATAATTTGAGCACACGGTAAATACTGCTTTGCTGACCACTGGAGACACAAGAGTGAGCAAAGCAGACTGAATCCTTGTTTACAGTGAAGGAGACAGACCTTAGTTAAATAATCACAAATAGTTCATGAAAAACTGGTAAGTGCTATGAAATAAAGCTTGAAGCTACTGTGACAACATACATCAGGGGCATAGGTCAAAGGCGGAGGCTTCAGGGAAGGCTTCCCTGAACTAAGAGCTGAAAGATAAGTAGATGCTAACCAGCAAACAGGAAGCGGAAGAGCACTCCTCACAATGGTAACAGCATACGCAAAGGCCCTGAGGTGGAAAGGAGCATGATGCATTTTCAGACCTGATGGACTAGGATGGCGCAAGATGAAGCTGGACTGAGAGGTTGGGGCCAGATCATACACACGTGTCAGTGAGGCAGTGTGGGGATTGCAGCCCCATCATTTCAGTAAGCCCAATGATGTAAACCCTACTGTTTGTCTTTCTTGGGCTTTCCTTGAAATGAGGTCTTCGTAACCCAAATCCTTTGCCTTTGTAGTAGCCTGCAGGAAGCATGAAAACAGCCCTGGAGATACACCAAAATGGCACCCTAATTCTGATGACATGGAGAATCTCAGCCGACCAGTGACAGAGCCAGTACTTAGAACCAGGTCTCCTGCCCGAAGATGCTACCAGAGATGAACCTCGACAAATTCAGAGTGGGGAAGCTCATGCCCTTGTGACCCACGCTGCTCGTTTTATAAAACTAGGCCATATGTTGAAGTATACCAAATTATGGGGCATTATTTGCTCACTTTCTCAACCCTGCATTTCACACACATTTACTGAACATTGCTAATGTGCCAGGCACTCTAAGCACTGAGGTTAGAAAAGGAAGTAAGATGATGTGGTCCTTGCCCTCCACGGGCTCAAAAGCTTACATACAAGCAGATGCATTATAATTCATTAGAGATATTTTAGTGCTCTCTGGACCCCAGTAACCAACTATTATTAAAAAGAGCGGTAGGTGGTTGCTAATGTTAAGTCACTGTGGCAGATGTTCTCGACCCAGAGGGGTCGTTGCCTGGTTTGAAAGAAGATGCTGTGTTAAGTATGAAGTTCACAGGATAACTTGCTTTTGTTCGATGTGGAAAAAGGAGTCTGAGAAACAGCTGGTCTGGAGCCAGCAAGCCCCTTTACTGTGGTCTTTATTTGACCACAGCTGTTGACTGGGGTGCTGGGGATTAAAAATGAAATAGTACACGTGAAGGATTTAGCTCAGCGCCTGGCAAATAGTAACCAATAAATATTAGTCATTGTTATTCAGGTAAAGAGACCTTTCAGGGATTGGAAATTAGATAAAACATGGTTAATTTCTTTTTGGTGGAGTCGGAAGAGAGCCTTGTCAAATACAGCTTTTCAAGTATCCAGTGTCAGTTTGGGAGCGGGCAGAGATTAATGCATGAAGTTACAGAAAGGGAGACCACCGTCAGGGGTATGTAGGCATCACTCTCCCTCTTCAAGGGGAGACTTTAGTACCTGTATTGGGTGATTTCACACCTATATTGAGAGGAAAACTGAGGACAGCAGAAACAAAATAACCTTTTGATAGCATACACGGGAGAACTGTGAGATATATACATATATATATATTATATATATATATATATTTTTTTTTACTTCAGTCTTGTGATGGATAATTTAAAAAGCAAACCAACAATAACGTTTTTTAAAGACTCCCACGACCTCCTGTGGCGTCTCTTCCATGCACTTTGATGGTCCAGCGCTATGTTGTGTTCAGATTTGTCCGCAGTGTCCCGGCCCTACCTGTCCTCCTCCCCTTGCAGTTCCTCGGCTCTGGCAAGGTGTCCGCGTACGGAGCCTGCAGCCTCCGAAGATTCATCCCACAGCCCCGCGTTGATGACAGCTGCTGTTACGTTGGAGATGCACAAAGCGGACGGCTTACTTGTATGCATTTTCACACATAAATTAAGACTAAAAAAGGAAAAAAAAAAAGTCTAGTTGTGATTCCATTGGTCAGATTCATTGCGGCCAAGTTTTCTCCAGTTGGCCAGATCCTGCTCTGGTGTAGACAGGACTCAGTGAGTCCGGGTGGAGGATGTGGGCAAAGGGCCTCGGCCCAGGGGGGTAGGCGGAGGTGTGGAGGGGCTGGGGGCCTTGGCCAGGGCTCCGCCCAGCGGGGGGCGGGCCCGGGGGCGGGGCGAGCGAGGGGGAGGCCCGCGCCCCCCGCGCGCAGGGGCAGGGACCGAGCAGGGGCGGGGCGGCCGGGCGCCCTGCGGCGGCCTCGCCGTGCCTAGGCTGGGGCGGGCGTCCGTGACGCTCAGTCGCGCGGGGCCGGCGGGGAGCGCGAGCGGCGGCGGCGGCGGCGGCAGGATGAACAGCATCAAGAGCGTGCCGGCGCGGGTGCTGAGCCGCAGGCCGGGCCACAGCCTGGAGGCCGAGCGCGAGCAGTTCGACAAGACCCAGGCGAGCGGCGGGGCCTCGGGCGGGCGGGCGGGGGGCGCCCTCTCCCCGGCCCCCTAGCTCGTGCCCCCCGGGGCCTGGCCGGTGCGCGCCTCTGCCGCTCCCGGGCTCGGGCCGCCCCCGGCCACCTTGCGCCGGGGCCTCCGCCCCCCCGAGCCGCCCCGCGCGCAGGTGAACCGGAAGCGCGCGCCGGCGACGGGGCCGAGAGAGGCCGCCGGGGGACTGAGGTGGCGGGGTCCCGGGGGCAGGCAAGTGGCTTGGGAGCGAGGTGGCGGGCGACCCAGGTGGAGGGGGCCGGGGGCCCGGGGGGCGGCCGGCTGCGGGGCGGGGGAGGACGCGGCGGTGGGCCCGGTGGGGTCAGGTGTGCCCGGGCCTAGGTGCGCCTCCCGGCGGGGCCTGCCTGCGTTTCTCTGCCCGGGCCGTGCCGCCCCTCCCCGGCTCCGGCAGACCGGCTCCTGCCACCTTCTGCCAGGCCGTGTGAAAATGCTCCCACCTCGGGGAAGCAGAGCGTTTCCTTGGAGGAAACTCCCAGTTTCCTCTTCGCCTGAGCTGTTTTCCAGGGCCGCACAATATCTTATTATATGCCGGGCGAAAAGTTTCGCGTATGTAGCCAGACTTGTTTGCCCGAGCGCTGGCCCACAGACAAATAGGTTCACACCCCCTGATTAAATACGGGCGCCTGGCAGACGGAAACTTCCTAGGGCTCCCTTCCTGCGCGTCCCACGCGCCTATCCTGGGAAAGGTTATTTTCAAAATTCAGCAATGGCGCGGGTGTGCATTGGTACATGTGTTCCTGCTGAGAACACAGAACGCTGTCGCTGCTGGGCTTCTGGTTCTCTGTTCCTTTTTATTTTACAAATAGTGAGGTGTTCTTATGCCTGGGGGAGGAGAGAGCACGCTTGTTTATTTGCCAGAGTAAGTCAACCAAGACTGAAATAGAACAGTTTTGCTTTACAAATAAAGGCAGCTGAAAGGACCCCTCCTGCCCCTGTCTGAAGCCCTGTGGTGACATTTGTGGCTGGTTGCTGTACCAAGTTCCTTCCCACCTGTCCCTGCCCATGGCAGTGACTTCCGCAGTTGCTTTCAGATCGAGTTATCTACACACCACCGTCTACGACAGCTTTCATTTTGAAATAAGGAAAACTCAAGGGGACCGTCTAACCTTTGTGCTTACGGTTAGCAGTGAAAACGATAATGAAATTTGGGGATACCAAGGCTTTATGAAAGCCAAGGCCTGGAACCAACCCACCTGAAAATTATTAATTTATCCTTGTGATCCTCCTCATCTGGGCTATTTTCAGCCCGGATAGCCCATCATCAAAACAAATGTAGCATTTAATTTAAAGGCATTAATACATAATTAATTGTGGCAGGAGTTTGTGCAAGGGTGGAGAGGAAAATTTATTTGGCAGAGGGAATCTGGGTGTTGTCAGAAGCTTTATTCACTGATTTTTAAGATTTTTTCCCCCTGTGCTTTTGAGGAGGTATAAAAAGGTCTGTCACAGAGATGAAATCCAGTTTGACTAATCTTACTCTTCAAGTTATTATAAATCAAGGGCAACCTTCTTTAATGTGAAAAAAAGAATCTCTGATCTAGATCCATACATTTTAGTGGTCGGTTTTGTAAACAAGCAGGTTTTTTGGTTTGTTTTTTCTAGTTGGGTTTTTCTTAGGGGCTGAGAGGGTTACTTAATAATGAATAACTTTGTAAAAAAAAAAAATGAATAACTTTGTAATGGGTGAATCTCATAGGATTTACCCTTCCCTGACCCTTTTTTTTTTTCTGGATAGATGGAGTTTGGGTTCGGCGTCTGGGTTTGCTGGTCTTCAGAGTGACTTATTGAGGGATGGAGGATAAAGATTTTGTGCATCTTTAATATTTAATTAGCTCGCTTCCAGAAATATCTAGTGAGCTGCCAGCGAGGCCCCATTGGTGGAAAGGAGCCCGAGAGCTGAGGTTGCTACTTACAGGTCTCCTTGTGGACAGAAAATAGCACGTCCAATTCATGGACCCACCTTCCCTTCGGAATACACTGCTTCTGTCTTCGTGTTGACCCCGGTGCCCTGTGTTGCGGGGGAGCACTTTGGCTTGCTTAGAACTTGTCATTGGCATCCGCCAGCCTCGCCTTTCTCCTTGGCTCCTGGATCTGGAGCAGGAAAAATGCTTCCAACATTAGCTTTCTTGGCAGGCCACACCCGTTTTGCAAAGGTCCATTCCCTACCCGAGCCGGGAGTGTTCAGGGAGACCAGTCACGCTTCCTTTGTGTAGCCAGTCCTTGTGACTGTTGCGTGGTGTGTGTATAATCCCAGAGGGAGCGTCTGGAAAGTTGGTCCACTCTTCCCCACAACTTGAGCCTTTTTGGTGATAAAAGCCCTTTTCAAAATGACGATGACACAGTAGTATTGACTTTTCGTTGTTGTAACATTCTGAATACGGAATACCGTAGAATACAGCATATCTGCATTTTGAACCCGAAACTGGCCATGCTGTGCAAAAAGATGGTGCATCATGGGAAGCACTTACAGGCAGGTGGACCTGAGTGCTGGCGTCTGTGCCCCTGGGCAAGTTGCTTAACTCCTGAATCTGTTTCCTCACCTGTAAAAACAGAGATTAATTCCACCTGGTCCCTATGGCCGCTTTGAGGTATAGAGAAACACTGTGTGACAGGCTGGCCCTCAAAGATGGCCACATCCTGGGGCACCTGGGTGGCTCAGTCGGTTAAGCGGCTGCCTTCGGCTCGGGTCATGATCCCAGGGTCCTGGGATCGAGCCCCACATCGGGCTCCCTGCTCAGTGGAGAGCTTGCTTCTTCCTCTCCCACTCCCTGCTGTTCTGCCTACTTGTGCTCTCTCTCTCTCTGTCAAATAAATAAAATCTTTATTAAAAAAAAAAAGGCCACATCCTAATTCCTGGAACCTGGGAAGACTTTATCGTAGTACTTGGTAAGAAAATGCCTATCAGCTGACCTTAAAATGGGCTGATTCTCCTGGGTTTGCCAGGTGGGCCCGTGTATTACCAGGGCCTTTAAATGTGGGCGAGGGACGGAGGGGAGGAGGTCCGAGGGGTGGTCTGCAAGGAGGAACTGGTTGTTGCTGGCTTTGAGGTGGAAAGAGGGGCCCCTCGCCAAGGAAGGTGGGCATCCAGTAGGCGTTGGAGAAGGCAAGGAATGGAGTTGTCTGTGAAGCTTCTAGAAAGAAAGGCACCACCGCCCACACCTCGTTACTAGCTCCGGAAGACCCGTCCTGGACTTCTGACCTCTGGAACTGTAAGACGATCAAAATGTGTGTTGTTTGAAGGCGCTCAGTTTGGGGTGTGTTGGCTGCTAGTATTCACAGGATGCAAAACGCACGGCCCGGTGCTCTGCAGATAGCCAACTGCCACCCCCCCTTCCTTCCCCACCCCCCCAAAAGCTTTACCATTTGAGAACTATTCCAGAACTTCCACTAGAGAGGAGATCCATCTTTGAGGCATATTATGGATGAGGACTCAGCAGATAGGAGTCTTGGAAATGCTAAACGTCAGACTTGCTTTCTCCTTATCTAGGAGTGTTTGTGCTTCTCTGGCTCGGTTTCCTCTGCAAGATCTAGAAATCGAGCCCACAAGCTTCTTTTCAGATCAGGACGGAGAGGGGCCACCCTGTTCAGTGAGCCAAGCCCAGTGGGTGGGCGCGTTAAATGGAGAGGCGAGACTACCCAGGTGTTAGGGGTTTTCCATTGGGGAGGACACCGTGCAGGGGTGAGAAGGGCATAGCAGGTAGAAAACAGTTCCTAAGTCCAGTTTTCCAGGTCAGTGACCCATCCCCTCAGCACCCTTCCGGGGAATCGAAATCTTGTAAAGAGTAACATTTTTTTTTGACATTCAGGACTTGTCAGCGCTGGCTCATGTTAGAGCAATACTGTCCAGTAGAAACGGAATACACGTCTCACGTGTAATTTTAGATTTCCTTGTAGCCACATGGCAAAGTAAACAGGTGGAATTCATCTTAATCGTGTATTTTATTGAACCCAGTGTATCCCAAATGTAACTATTTCAATATGTAATCACTGTAAAAATTATGAAGGGGATCTTTTACATTCTCTTCCTATTCTTCGCTATCTATTGTGTGTTTGACAAAGCGCATCTGTTTGGGCTCACATGCTTCAGGTGCTCAGGAGCCCCACCGGGGGGTGTCTTTCAAATGTCAGTGTGAAGGTGCTGGAGATGAGGAGTGATTCGGCCTGGATAAGCCCCGGGCGTTGGTTGGTTGGTTTTGTTGTTTAAGTCCCCTAGCCAAGAATTCTTTAGAGTCTCCTTGAAGGTAGCCCACAGCACAAACATGTGTTTGGGACCTTGAGTTTGGGTTTGAGAGCCGTTCCTGAGTATGCAGTATTCCTTCCGACTCCCGTATTTGACATGCTGGTCCTTCTGCCCTTACTTCCTGTCCCACCTGCGCCCATCACCCCCTCTGTGGGGTCTCCTCTGACCGGACTTACACACGCCCACCTTTGTGTCTTCATTGTTCCTTATAAACGCTGTGGTGTTCTAACACTCCCAAGTCACCAACTCTTTTCTGGGCGTCATACAAATGTTCACCAAAAAAATTTCCCCTAGCCTCCGAGTTTGGGAAGAGATCGAAACCATGTGGTGGGCAGCCAGAGCTCACCCCCCCGGTCCCCCCATGGCAGTGGGGTGGGCTGTGAGGTCCCCGCGTGCAGGCATGGTGCCCGGCACTGGTACAGACCGGTTGGAGAACAGAGGTGAGCCAAGCCTTCCTGCAAAGGAGAAACCAGGCTCACAGCCGCCCTAGGATGCTGCCCCCGTCCAGAGCTGCCCGTGAGCTGCTTCCTTGCCCAGGTCAGCTGGGGTGGGTCCTGGGTGGTGAGCTGCGCCCTTTCCACCGTGGCCACTGCCGTTTCCCACCAAGGCGCCGGACGCCCTCCATTTGGTGATGCCCAGGCAGCCAGAATCCCCCGGATTCTCCCTCTGCTCTCTGGGTGTCAGGTGACCTGTCGGTCCAGGTTGGG